CTAGACTCCGCCCCTGCCGTGTTGAGGTTGTCCATTAAAGACGTGACGCACAGATAACGCTTCACCAGAGAGAACAGCAGCTTCCCAGGAATCTGAACACAGACAAGGAAAACATCAAAGATCCTCTCAGTAATATTGTAGGGCATGGCCAGTGACTGTGCACGTTTCTACTTTAAACCATCAGCCTCATGCAAAGTGGGGACTCCCGAGTGGCCAAGATGGGGCAAATACGGACAGTGTTCTAAGTCTGTGGTCTGACAGTTGTTCACAAAGCCTTGTAGCACTAAAGGTAGCTCCTTGGTCAGAGAAGTTGGGGACGTCTGAGTCAGTGAGACCTGTTCAATGCCAGCATTGCAGTCCAAACCTGTGGACCCATGAAGACCACTGAGGCTATGGACAGAGACATTTTCAGTTTTCTCTTACTCTCAGATTGTCTTGTGTTTTTGCCAGATGTTTGTCCCTAATTCTGTTCTAAGACGTCAATAAAACTCAGACACAAATCTGAAAAATGTCAACAAAAATAAAACCATCTGGATGAAAATCTTTTGCATGTAACTGGTCCTTTAAGACTTAGTTTTAGGGTACTGTTTTGGGTCAGAGATTAAGGAACACATGCGTGTTTACCTGTGGCAGGTGAATCCCCTCAAAGGAGATGCCATGCTCCTCTGAGGACGTGGTCTCAGCAAACAGCTCCAGCAGAGTGTAGCGGTTGTCGAAGTCCATGTGCTGCTCAATGCCATCCTGCTGACTGAGAGACAGCAGCACGTAGGCCCGACTTCCTGCAGAGGACACACACCATCAGCACCTTCACACGTGGAACACTCTGTGACAGTGACGTCTGGTTGTTCCTGGCTCCACTGATGGAGGTTCAGTGATGGATGGAGCTAAACAGCAGGTGGAGCCAGCTCTCCAGTGTCATCAGCATTAATGTGAAGAAGGTCACAGCCCCCTCATCTCCCCAGTCACATCTGAAGCTTGAGTCACTTGATTCGTGGACATCAGCATTTGTTCAGAGTCATGATTCATGATTTACCAACATACCAACTTCTCCACCACAGCCCAGTAAAACAACTATGATTTCTGCAGATCTGCTGAATTCAGAGTGTTTCTACTCTGGTATTTTTATGTGCAAACTGAAGTTTTCATTTGCCCAAGTTCACTGGATTTATCACTGTTACTAATGCAGCAGCAAACAATCATATTTTACACAGCAGTTATCCTCTAACTTTGCTTGCTTCCTGTTTTAAGATGATGCTGCCAAACTGCAACCAGAAGCTAACAGAGCCCAAACAGCTCCAGAAGGTCCCAGAGCTGGTGTGAACTCTCACTGGGTTCAGCACTGCCACAGACACTTTGCCATTTCACAGTACTGCGATCCACTGCATACACCAAAACATCATATGCCACTAATAATATGTGTAGAATGGGAGACTGGTAGTGTTACAAGAGACTGGTAGGCAGAGGTGAAGAAGCTTTACAGACCCTGCACAGTGAAGGGCTGTGTAAAAAGCCCTTTACCATTTTTTCTCTGCGAGTGTATCTCGCCTCATCTTATGCTCTCATTTACAGCTTCCTTCTAGAACAAGTAAACTCAGACTGGGGAAAACTGGGTCATGATCCTTATCAGTTTCTTTCAGGAGCTACAGGAAACAGACATGAAATTGTCTTCATTTGGTATTGACCCCCTGGCGTCCCTTTGCCTTAGTTTATTAGCCCCTGGGCGACGCCTCTGTCCAAGGTGGGAACTGAAACCTGATGTATTGGTGAACTTGGAAAGAGGACAGCGTTTCCACTGGTAACATTTCTCAGTGATGCACCGCCACACCAAAAATAATCAATCCGACCGATTAATTAAGCACCTCAGTGAGTCACCCGGGAAGCCCGTCAAGCAACAGGGCAAGTCACATACACAGGTGCAGTTAAGGCCAATTCAGACGGAGCTCGTTTTTAGATTCACTTTTCACACAACAGATAAATAGAGCTCAGAGAATGACAGATGAGAGGAGAGAAGTGCCTGAGCAGACACCCCCACCACCACCACACAGGAAACACTGGAGGATGGCAACTTGGTACAGGAAGGTTCTGGCTGGTCTTCACTGTTAACCTGACACGAAGTACACCTGCATCTCTCTACAAACGTAAGTTTTTTTTCTGGTTATTTTATTCTATGCATTCATTTTACAGTTTTATACTAAACCAATAAAAGTACAGTAACGGGAGCTTGTGTACATCTGCTCTGTGTGTCGTAGATCTGTAATGAGCCATGGGTTTGTTTCCTGTCAGCAACCCCAGTGACACATGGGAAAAACTCGAGACTGCTCCTGGCCCAGGATGTTCTCCACGTGACCTCAGGACAACAAACGAATGTGCAGGCAGAGGCACAGCAGCAGGCTGTGCAGTGAGGCTCACATGGCGACAGAGGACAGCCTGATCACTGCACTGAACCAACAGCCATTAACTTCTTTTTCTTTCAAGTCTTCAGTCACACAATGGCTAAACTGTGTATGAGGCAGCTGTAGCTTAGGGTAGAGTCGTCGTCTCCCAACCGAAAGATTTGTTTTGCGGTGTCTGCAGTCCACATGTCAAAGTGTCCTTGGACAAAACCCTGAACCCCAATTTGCCCTCAATGGCCAGAGCAAGGCCTTGCAAGGACAGCGCCATGTGTGAGTTGGCGCTGCAGATGGCTGCCTCAGGTCTGTACCAGAAACAAATTCCTTGTGTGTAATATACTTGGCCAAATAAAGCAATTATCAGTGATCATCATTAAAAGATATGATAATATTTATAAATCAAACATTTGTGCAGAACACCAGTGGCTCCTCATTCCAGCAGAGACCCAGATGGAGCTCAGGGTCAGCGTGAGAGTTACCCCTGAGAAAGTGCTAGTGTGTATAACTAAGTAGAAAACAGCACAGTCACTGATCAATCAGCTGATCATTGTCCTGATGACCTGTCCCACTGTGACTCTCCAGAGCCAAAGGTGGCGTCTCCACACGTCTCGTTGTGTCCAACCTACAGACCCACAGAGACTCAGCTGATTCTCATGTCTGACAAAGAAAAGCATCAGCTCCTCACATTAAAGAAGGTGGAACCAGAACATGTCGGTGACTGTTGCTTCTAAATAGCTGAGGTTCATTTTCTACCAGTGAACTGACTCATGGCTGCAGCTCTAGGTCACTGAATGGCTTCATGAGGACGACACAGTGGGTCAGACACCGTGAGGGGATCTGGTTTGGAAGGAGGAGGTTTCCTCCCTCTGACAGAGGAGACATGACACTGCTCTGGAGACACGGCCCTAACAAGGCCATGCTGGATGCTGCATGGATGTTTCACTTCTGACCTGCCTGAATAACTGTATTATGAACAAAGCTGGTAGTTACCTGCGTCGTGTGAAGCCAGCGCTCGCAACATCTTCCCGGCACTACGTCTTGTTTGCGTCTCCTTGTTGCACAGTAGCTCCATCAGCAGGTTGAGAGCACCTGTCTCCTTGAAGACGCCCACCAGCGACCCAATGCTGGCATAGGCACTGAGCACATGGATGGTGTGCGTGATGCTGATAGAAAAGTCACTCTTCTTGGCCATCTGCTTCCGGGCTCGCCGCACCAGGTTCTTCACGTCCTCTTTCATGTCTGACAGCTCCACCTCATCAAAGGTGACATCTGCTGGGAACTCGCCGCCACTCCTCTGGTCTCCGTCAACCCTCTCGCCACCCTGCAGCTTCTCCTGCGCCTGCAGGGGGCGCTGTGTGTCTGTTTTCCTTTTGCCCAGCAGTGTGGGGCAGTTGGCATACACATCCTCTGTAGACATCCACATGAGGATGTTTTCTGGTTTGGTTTCACCTGTCGTGGAGCTGCTGGACACCCCCACCCCAGAGCTCCCGCTGCTGGTACCACCCACCTCGCTGGCCCCGCCCCCGAAGCTGGAGCCATCATCGAAGGCGACAAGGCACCAGCGAATTAGGTACTCTGTCTGGCCATCATGGGTGCGGCGCTGACGGATCAGCTCCTCAGGATAAGCCTGAAGCCTCGGGCCAAGTTGGACCAGCAGGTTCCCATTGCGGCGTTCACCCACCATGGCTGCTATGGAGACAGTAAAGGAGATTTCAGAGGAAGGGACACCAAAGGAGGAGATGCCACAGTAGGAGACAGAGGTGACAGAAGGAGGAGGAGGAGACAGAGGTGGACATGTCAGAGGAGGAGACATAGGAAACAAAGGAGATTACAAATGAGACAGAGGAGGAGACAGGACACACATGAGGTGTCCAGATGAATAAACAGCGTTTACAACGAACAGTGTCAGGCTGCGTTATTTTCAGCTAAGTGTTGCTAATAAACTGACCACTGAGGGTACAACCCCCGGTGGTTTCACTGTAAATTATAGCCTTTCATTTTCGGTTTGCGGGGACAGTTCCTCTATCTCACCCTCTCCCTGAGCGTTGTTGTGCTGCTGTCCGTGTTACCGGCTGTGTGCTTCAGCCGGGGTCCGTCTAACATCTGAACAGTCTGAGCCGCTCAACCGAAACCACAACGCCAGAAAAGACACTTTTATATTTTCACTTATTAAACACTAAACAGTCTGTTACTGACGATATCTAGCTATTATTGATGTAGTCAGTTTGATAACAGTTTTATGTAGTTGTTAATTTCAGTAAATAGCCCATCCCATGGCATTACCTGAACGCAACAGATAAGCTAACTACAGCTGCTAACATTAGCAACTGTTCCTATTCTGAGTTTAAAGTTGACATTAGCGGACAACTTCTTCCTCCACACATGGACTGAATAACTACGTTTTATCTTATATCATATAAACCACTTATTTATTGGTTAAATCGTTGTTGATAGCTAGCCATATGCACGCCATACAGATAACATCACACCAAATTCCATTTAAAAACCTAAAATTTTGAGGACCTTGGATTTCCGGCATCGATCATCTATGTCTTAACACAAATTAAGGTAGTCCGGGGATCCTAAAAGATCTTCTGATTCGGCAAGTCGACAGTTAAACGGTAGTTAGCCCTGATAAACAAGTCAACTTCAATACTTTGGAGCCCACATCACTGCCACCGCTTACGGTCTGCAGCTCACGTCATTTGGTGACAACTTTATTGACAAACGAGCAAAAAATGTTGAAAATTAATCCTCAATTGGACTAAATTATGTTTGATTAGTTGTGTGTACGACGAATTGAAGTGTATCCAGCACAGTCATAAAATACAGTGTTTTGATTTAGAAATGTTTGCTTATGAGTAGATTTGCGTTTAATCAGTAGGTTTTCAAATGCAGCTTGGTTTATCACTGTCAGCACGAGCGTTCAGCAAATCCCGGGGTTAACTGTGTGTACAGTAACTACGGATGTCAGCGCCGAGAAGCCGACGTGGGCCTGCCCAGCTCTACGCCACGGTCAGGTAGGAAAGCGGCAACACTAGCACGCACTCCGACCTGAAGACACAGCTCCACGACATTCCGTCCTACCTGCCGTGTCCCAGACCTTCCCTTTGGTTTCTGTCTTCCTCCTAAGGCGCTGTTTTCTCTTCCGCTCAAACGTCTCGTTTTCCAGTCTGCTACTTGTCTTTTCATTAGCCACCGGAGGCCCGTGCCGTTGGATGCGCATTTGCGCACTGTGACAGGAACGACATCACAGGCGGCTTCTTCTACGTCTGCAGCGTATCGTCTTCTACTTCTCGAGTTTCAATAGCGAACTACAGCCCAATTTAAAAGGTGCTTGCCGCCACCTAGTGTACCGGAGTGTGTATTAATATGGCCTTAAGAGCTTAGTCTATTTATTAACCCAGTTATTTCTAAATATGTAATCAAATCTCTTTGCATCTGATATTGTTTTTCCTCTATCGCCAATATACCTTTAGTACCCCATTACCTGCCAATTTCTAGAATAGAATAAAATAAAATAGAATTTATTGTCATTACACAATCATGTACAACGAAATTAGTGTGCTCTTATCCAAAACAGTGTGCAATAAAAACAATCAAACAAAAACATAGAGGACAAGAAAAAACACACAAAACACACAAAAAGCACACTGTGGTGAGGAGCCTTAGGCTGCTGCGTTCGTACAGTATTTCTCTTTCTACACACTCTAGAATTTTTCATATTTAAAATACTCACATGTACCAGATTCCACCCTGCCAATAATATGTAATGTATTAGATTTGTATGACCCAACCTAAGTCTATATATCATATTCCCTATAACTATGTCCATACTTTTTAACTAATGTGTCCCTATACCACCACCTACTGTAGCAGAATGAAGACACACACCTCCACTACCAACAATTAGTTTTGAAGTAAACTTAAAAAATAAAAGTGATTAACAATATCTGTGTCCTCTGCCATGATAGAAGAAGTAGCTGCATTCTAAATGTTACTTAAGTAAAAGTACAAAAGTATCAGCATCAAAATCTACTTGAAGTAGCCAAAAAGTGACAACATTCATTCTGCAGAATGGCATAATTCACAATAATGTACATGATACTATTGGATTATAAATTTTGATGTAATACTGTGTTCATCACTTAATGTTGCAGCTGCTGAAGGTGGAGCTGATGTTAATGACTTTCTGCTCTGATCAGCCACAGCATTAAAACCACAGGCAGGTGTGTGTCGCTTGCTTGGGGAAGAGATAGCACCAGGAAGACAGTGAGCCACCACAGGTGGTGTGATGCTCTGGGCCATGTCCTGCTGGAAAACCTTGGGTCCTGGCATCCATGTGGATGTTACTTTGACATGTAGCACCTTGCACACTCTTGCAGACCAAGTCCACCCCTTTATGGCAGAGGTGTCCCCAGATGGCAGTGGCGTCAGTCCAATTGAGCATCTGTGGGATGTGCTGTACAAATTATCAGTCCACTGGGGGGGGGCAGAATTGCTTTGGTGGCACAAGGGGACCTAAACAATGCTGGGATCCTGCTGCTGATTAATCTACATTAATGCATTATATTTTGCATGAATAGTCAGAATCTGTGGGCTAAAATAACCTAATTGTTAAAATAAATGCGATGCAGTAAAAAGTAGTTTTTAGAAGTGAACTTCACAATAAGCGGCAGCAGAGGGCGCCACAGCTCCGGTCTCCTGAAGGTTTACAGCACGTTTCACTGGTGCCCTGATGTACAAAGCACCAGCAAAACCAATCTATCTACAGCTTACAAGGCCTTTAGAAACGCTGTCTAATCAGGAGTGTTGCTGGTAGTTTAAAACAAAAGGCTGTAATTAATCGATGCCCAATCAAAAATCAGGGTTATTGATTGGGTTATTGGCGGGTATTCCTGATGATGAGGGGCTTTAGGACCATGGGTAGGACATCTCTGCTGCTATTCACCATGCACTCGCGCACATGCACTCGCACACCTCCTCTGTATTCAGCGCACATGCCCCTTCCTCCTCCTCTTCCTCCCTGTAGAAACCCTTCTCACTCAGTGGACTTATAGCAGTTGATGCTCTCTCTCTCTCTCTCTCTCCGTCTCCATCTCTGCAGGAGAATCATCCACCGACCAGACGGACACCTGCCTGCACGCCTGCTTCTCTCCACTCTCCTGCTGTTCGTGAAGCTCCGGACCTCCACACCAGGACCTTCTCGGATCCCTGGGCGGCTCAAGGACGGAGGCGGGGTCGGTGTAAAGCCTGGATAAATAGATGGATGCAAAGCCTCATGTCTCACCTTCGGAAGTGAGTATGTGCGTGCGTGCGTGTGTTTGTGCTCTTATGATCACGCGACATGTGTAGCATCACCGGGATGACGTCAGAGCCGGTGACAGTGTCGGTATTCAGGTTTACAGCGGAGCCGTGACGTGATTTGAACATCATATCTGTTTGTATATGGGCTGCAAATATCCGTGCGTGTGCACATATGCATGAGATGTGTGTGTGTGTGGCGGGTGGGGGGGATTCCTGGCGGCTTTGAAGCGTAGATTTGTTATTAATGTGCCAGGATTAATAGATTTGGACTAATGTGAGCAGCAGAGACATTTAACACAAACAGGACGAACACCAGCATCAAAACAAGTTGTGACAGAGCCACACAGTTAATATTATGAATGTTATATTATTATATAATCTAATCCAACTGCAGGTAGCCCACAATCTGTTCACCCAAAGCCAATCACCACCCTGGCACTGTCACTCCTTATGCAACTATTATTTTATGGGAATGCGTCGATTTTTGGACTATTATAAAGCATTTGGGGGAAAAATACACAAGTCAGTGGAACATAACTGTGTAGGCAGTTTAGCTTCAGTGTTTTCTTTTTACGCCACGTCAGAGAGAAATGCACTTTTCCTGCACTACAGTTTATATAAACAGGTTCTAAAATATGAGGCTGTATCTATAAATTAAACCAGGTGCCAGTATAGAACTGAAATGAAAGAAAACGAGCCTAGAACCATTTTGAAAATTGTTTTTCTTATGTAATATATTGTAAGGCTAAACATTTATTTTCATGGCTTCAAATGGGAAGACTAACTGTTTTTCCTCTTTGTTGATCTGGAGAGAGAAGCCTCACCATCTTACACTTGTGCTGGTGCCACTTTGGACACTTTCTCACTATTTCTTGTTTTATTTTATTTTATTTTATTTTTACAAGCCAAACAATCAGTCACTTAATAAAGAAAACAATCAGCAGGTTAATCAATAACTGGAAATGCTAAAATGAATTCCATCTCAAATACAGCAGGAAAACTCTGCTCACGCTTCGGCCTAAAACAGCAGACTGGTCCTTTGATGTGGAGGCGGATGCAGACAGGAGGCGGCTCACTGTGAGAGGTGCTGATGTCTGTAGGCGTCTCCACCACTTGTATTTGTTTCATGTCAGTTCTATTAAATATGGAACAGAGAACAGTGGATATCAAGTCTTTAAGTCAGATTCAGTGTATTCCAGAGAAAATTGTGGTTCTACTGTGGTTCAGTGGGTAGAGCAGTCGTCTCCCAACCGGCGGATCTGAGATTCGAATCTCAGTGCCTGCAGTCCACATGTCGAATTGTCCTTGGGCAAGACACTGTACCCCCCGTTGCCCCCCGATGGTTAGAGCCATTGGTTGAGCAGATGGCTGCCATCGGTTCTGTACCGGAAACAGATTCCTTGTGTGTAACATACTTGGCCAATAAAGGTGGTTATCCTTAAAACAAACATTACTGTGGAGAATATCATTAAAACATGCAGCCGGTGATTTTGAGTGTTTGTTATTTTCCTGAGAACAGCTCCGAACGCTGAGCATGGCGGTCACTGTGCACAGTGTCTGCAGTGAGACAGACTCACTGGTCCCTGCTCTGGTTGCAATGCTGCACCAGCTTCTGCACAACATGTTGGAGCTGTTTGCTGGAAACAGGCGCCTCCTGTGTTCCCTGAGGAGGAAACCTGCCCCCCAGTGCAGCAGTGTGGCTCACTGGGGGGGCTAATAGCTGGACCAGGGTCTGGGCTCACACACATCACGGTGAGGACGCCACACTCACCAGCACTGGCACCTGTAGGATCATATTTCATAGTACGCACATTCACTGTGTAAACCTTGTTTTACTGATATTTTCACATTAAAACACTTGTCACGTTATTACAACAGACTGGCTCTTTTGTCATTAAAACAGACTGTGTAAACCTTGTTTTACTGATACTTTCACATTAAAACATTTGTCACGTTATTACGACAGACTGGCTCTTTTGTCATTAAAACAACATACTATATGATAACTACGTGATGATGTCAGCTCAGCACAGCTTGGAGTGGCCACAGCACACACATGCAGCACCTCTGTGGCTCATTCGGTTCAGATGGCTCTCTCCCATCAACACCCTCCCAAACCCACTTTCAACACAGTGACCAGCATTGCTCTTAGGAGGTGCACTCAGGCCGGCCATGAGAATCACTGGCACTTAAATCCATGCATGATAATATGTCCACAAAATAACAAGACTGCAGCTTCTGGTGGAGGCGGCAGCAGCTGAGGAGGAGGTGTTGGGACCGAGCCCCCCAATGAAAGTGGTCTCGCAGCAGCCACCTGCACGTGTCCCGGTGGTGGTCTGTGTATTCCTGGCAGCAGGTCAAGTCAGTGTGTGGCTGCTGCCACTCACTGCAACCCACAGAGCTCACATTAGGGAGTAGAAATGATGTGATCCGCTCTGGACAAGTCAAGTTTATTTCTACAGCATGTTGTCATAGACAAAGGCCATTCAAAGTGGTTACCACAATGCACACAGATGGATAAAACTTTGAAATGCATACAAGATGCACCAGGGCTGTGCAATATGATATCATGTTGGATAGCTCCTCGGGCTATCTATCTCTCTTCTCTATCGTACAGTGACCGCCAAGGCGCGGTCATATAAAACTTGAGCTAAATCATTTAGAAAATGTACATATGGTGCGTACGGCACTACAGGTCACTGGGGCTGTCAGTCTCTGGAATTTGTGCGCAATAACACAAACAGACAAGCTCACCAGCTGCGTCCTTTAAAACATGACACAGCCTGGTCGTGTGATCCATGCGGGTGGTGGCATGAGCTGTAAATCAGCCCTTGACCTTCAGCAGGGTGAACTCTTCGTTGTGTTAAAAAGAGCTGAGGGACCTCTAACTGTTTTCTGTTTTTCAGGAGCATTCAGACTGTGATGCCTGACCTCTGACCCCTCTGAGAGACACGTCTGAGGAGGAGAAGCAACCAGCTGAGCTCTGAGGATGGAGGGAGGAGGAAAGGAGGACAGACGAGGAGAAGAGGCTGAAACCTCCTCAAAACTGGGGAGAGCCTCACCAAGAGGAGCTGGGGGAGGGGGAGATGGCTGCAGACAAAATGGCCTCATCAACACTCACCTGCTGGGGGAAGAGCCTCGGGACGCGCTGCTGTCAGTGTACTCGGCTCCTCGGTACCAGAGCCACGTGCTGGTGAATGCCCCCCCCCAGCAGGAGCACAGTGGGGGTCCTCCTCAGCTTCTGAACCCCAGTGCTCTCCTCCCCCACCAGGTGGTGTCGGCCCCTGGCCTCCTCCTGTGCCCAGAGAGCGTCCTGCGGGCATGGGGGGAGGCTGGGGGAGGCGGCTGCTGCGAGACCACTTTCATTGAGGGGCTCGGTCCCGACACCGCCTCCTCGGCTGCTGCCGCCTCCACGAGGCAGGGGGTGCTGTTTGCTGACAGGG